AAGAAGAAGAAGAAGAAGAAGAAGAAGAAGAAGAAGAAGAAGAAGAAACATAAGAAAAACAAGAAAAATAAGAAGAAGGAGAACCACCCCCCCGGTCCCAAAATACAATCACACCCAGTTGCTTCCAGTTGCTTTGACCCAGTGGCTTTTCTCCACCGCCCTCGGTTCTTGCAACACCTCCACCGCTGGACTCCGCGCGAACCGCCTCGGCCTCCGCAGGACTCGGCGCCCGATGGCTCCAGCGCGGAGAGCGAGCCTGTGGTGCCGTCGCCACGGAGGCCACGCTCAGAGCGTGGCACGTGGTGGGTGGTGGCACCGGTGGTACCGTCTCCCATGCTTGAGTGGTGGTGAGTGGGGGTGGTTGTGGGATGGCTGATGAGATGGCTGAGTGGGTTCAACTTCTTTCTTATATGTTCTTTTTGAGAGTGAGTGGGGGAGTGGGGGAGCGAGATGGTCGATGTGAGGATCGTTTCTTTTGAGCTTCTTTCTTGGGACTTTTAGATCTGAGTCAATGCACAAGTCTTTGCCTGTCTTGTTCAATAGCCATCAAGTGGGACCCCAAAGGCAAAACCACAACTTAGATCGATCCCTACAAGTGCAATCTGACCCAGTATATAAAACTTAGTCAAACTTAGCTCCTCAAGCAGTGTTTTTGCATGACCAACTCCAGGATTTCATGAGCTCATTGACTTGTAGGCAAAGGTGCTGTTTTTGGACAGCAACATATGGACTCCCATATGGACTCCCTGTGTCGTCACCTCACCACTAGCATCCATTGAACTTGTGCAACCTTCCTATATGGTTTGGCCGAAAAGCTACCAGGACCTGGCCCCTCGAAGGAACACCACCAAGACCCTATATACCAGGACTGAAACCAATTCCGGTGCTTGAGACAGTGGCATCATGTGGAGTCTGTTCGCCCCCCTCGGTTGCCACCAAAGCAGGGTCTTTTCAACGAAGTGGCCGCGCTCCATGATGAGACGAACTTCCGACCGTGGGACGACCCATGAGACCCAGCAGCTGGACTCCCCTTCCTTTCAACTGAAGCAAGCCCCTTGAATAAAACGGCAAGGCAACGACTCATCAGGGCAACTGGCTTGCTGTTAGAACTGGTAAGCTGCGGTGCCCAGCGCAGCTTTTCGACGGAGGTAATGCAAGGTATAAAATGCCTAGCTTTCGTCCCCCCCTTGGGACTCTTCAGGGCTTTGCAGCCGCAAATGCTGCGGTGTTCAATCACATGCCTAGGCATCGCGTGTTCAATAACCTAGGCAAGTGCAAACTGGACATGACAATTTTTTTTGGTCCCTCCTGCCAAACCCTTAGACCAAACATTAAGTCGGTACAAGTCGGTACAAGCAAGTTTGGAACTTCTTGGCCAAAGACCCATGTTGTAGATCAGTGAAGACCGACCTGGAGCCCTAGATGTGCCGTATACCACCCTAGGAATGGACCAACGAAAACTATGCAACTGGCGACCACCAAACCGCGGTTCGGGCCACCCACGATATGCCAGTCCCATTGGTTGTGTTCGTTTGGGTGAACCGCTTTGGGTGCACAAAGCTGCTCCACTCCCACATGCGCAGGCCACTTCCGCAGAAAAGCCTTCCATCTAGCTGCCTGGCTTTCTTCGTGTCGCGTGGCGTCGGGAACTGACGACGGCCGGCGCCAAGAGCAGCATCGGCGCCTGCGACTAGCCCTCGAACTTTGACGAACTGTTCCTTTTTGAATGATGTATATAATTAGATTCGGAATACATGGCTTCTACATGTATAACGACTGGCTTCTACGTCTACCACACAGATGTTGGGCGAATCCATCCCCCTTTTTTCCTCACCGAACTTCCTTTTTCGAGTCCTGCGCGTCCGCTCCGGGCGGCGGTCCGAAGGCGCGACGTCTCTTGGTGTTCGCCGCCCTTTACCCAGGTCAGCCGCTGCAGAAGGTACCTGAGAGCAAAGCCGACTTGGAGGGAGGAAGCGGGCTGGGGGAAGGTGCTGGAGGAAGGTGGGAGGTTTCTGCAACGTCCAAGACCAAAAACGATGGTGGACCTGGTGGTGTAGTGTAAAATCCTTAAAACTTAAAAGTAAAACAATGGTGGTTTGGTTAAACCACATCATTCAAAACTTATGGTGGGCCAGGAAGCCTAGGGGGGTGGAGTGACCCTGGGATGTCCGAAGTGACCCTGGGAGAGGTTCACAACAAAGTTGGCGATTTTGATGATGAGAAGACTGTTCGGATCGGATGGTTCGGCATGGGGTGTTGGCTTCTGTGGCTTCGGTTTGAGTCAGAGGGCGTGGAGCACAGTTCTGGACGGTGTAACCTCCGGAGATGAGAACACAAGAGGAGCAGATTGTTTGGTCTCCCTTCCCCAGAACTTCCACCAGTTCGGGGGTACAATGAGTCATTTGGACTCAGGGTTTGCTGGAGGTGATGAAGACACACCGAAGACACACACGCCTTTAGCGGCTAAGGCTCCACGGATTGTGGGTCATGACATGTCGTGACTGTTGAACTCCCAAAATTGCTTCCTTTCGGGAACATCTACACGAAACAAACCCCTTCTTTTTGGTGAGTGAACATGATGGGACGTTTTTTGGTAGAAACATGTCACTTCAACCAATTCAGGGATCAGTTGGAGGAGTGTTTGTGGAAGAAACCCACAGCGCATCGGCTTCGGCTGGCTTCGGCTGGGTTCGGCTGGGTTCCGGTGCAAGTCCGCAGGAGTGAATTTCCCCCAGGTCAGTGACCTCTCCAGGTCAGTGACCTGTTCAAGACCTGAACGCGTCACTGGGAAGGTCACTGGCAGCCGACATCGGTATTGGTTGGTTGATTAGTAGAGGGGAGCCCCTCAGTCGAGTACCAAGCGATAGGCATATGGCACTGACCCCACAGAAGAAAAAAACCCGCCAGCTACACCAAAACCACTGGTATTTCACTCGGATTCTTTCTGTGAAGCAGTCCATCTAAGTGGTTCCATTCTTGCCACGACTCTCGCTTCTGATTTCTCATCGCAGGAGCTCGCCCATCTTCCAAGGACTCAGGGTGGGGAGCCTCGAATGACGAGAGACCCGCAAAAACCAGGTCAGGAAGGGCCTGCTTTGGACCACCAAGGCCCCCCCCCAAGTGAATGGTTTTTTCCAAGCAACCGCCAGGGCCCAATGAGCCAGGCTTCGAGGTATTCATCGTCGCCATCCTGTCCATGTGTGGCACTGGCATATTTAGCTACATTTGGGGGGTTCCTTGAAATGGGGGCAATGTACCAGGGCCCCCTAAGGGGTGATTACTGTAATGGATAGCCCTTCACCTCTAAGGAGCTATAATTGGACACCCACACTTGTGGGACCGGCTTTCTTGGACAGTTTTTGGTGGATCTCTGGCGTATTTCCATTCGTTTTTGAGGGTTGGCCGAGCTCGAGCGCTCGGCCCTTGAAAAGGCTCGCCTTCGGGTGTGCTCCCGGACTGGTGGGGCGGGCAGCGTTTGACCGCTGCTGAGAGCTCCAGCCCCTGGAGCTCCGGACTGCAGGAGCCGAGCCTCCGGGTGCAGGGAGCACCCATCTCCCAGCCTCGAAGGTCCAAGGAAAAGGCCTCCAAGAGTGGGGTTTGGGCGGAACACACGTCGTGGGGGGTGCAGGTGCTTTTGTTTTTTGGGGGTCGGCTGGTTTGTTGAAAGTGTTGAGAAGATGGTGTTCACTGGAACGAAAGGGCCCAACGAACTCCACTCAGTTCTACTCCACTCTACTGCGGGGGCTTGGGCAGATGGTCTTCAGCTCCGTTCCGCCGGCGGACCTCGAGGCCCCCGCGGCCTCCCTCACCGCCACCTGACCTACGTGGCTTGGAGGATGGAAATGGAGAGCTCCCCAGAACTGTGTTCAAATCCGTTAATATCGACCATTCCTAGGACCCACAGTCGGGTGGTTAATGGACACCCCGAATCACCTCTTTTCGGGGCTATCAAGTTCGACACCCCGGTATGGGTGTCCTGGTATAGACCCCCAGTCGAAATAAGGACCACCCCGAGTTTCGGCCCGCAACACATGGGGTGCCACATCTACCATCGATGGACCGGTTTTTGTTTTCTGTTTCTCGGATGGAGGCACTGCGGTTAACGGGTCAAGCACCAACAGGTTGGTGCCGGTTTTGGTCGCGGCTCCACTCTTTCACCCGAGAATTTCAAGACTGGGACGTCTGGAAGTCCTTCTGACTCTAAGAACACCCAATACGAGTGCGTACGGCTAAGAGGCTGCATTTTTGCCCGGTTTTCGACTTGTCCTGCCTGGGGAATGGTTGGCCTCACTGGCTACCATTGCAGATGTGAGTGAACACAAGCAGCATGTCGGATGGTACATGACATGCCTCCAAAGCGTGTCGGATGGAAAAAGGTCACCCAAGTGAAGAGTGTGAAGAGGGATGTCCTGAAGAACCGCATGCACATCCGTGCGAAAAGACTTGCAGGCGGCTTGTCACAAACCCTGAGCAGAAAGAAGCGAGCAGAAGCTTCCGACGTCATGAAGCTTTCAACTCCTACATCGCCCAGTTTTTTCGCGTCTCACAGGCTCTCTTCAGCTATCCCCCTCGACCCTGTTGATGGGGTCCCACTGTGGTACTCCACCATGCAACCAACTCGTCACGTCCCTTCGTCGCCGCTCCCTAAGGCTCCCTACCATCCGACACGCCGGGGGACGAAGACGCTGACGCGGCGAACGAATGCACGCGCCGAGCTGACGCGCGATCGGGTGGCGTTTCAACATAGGGGGAGGTGGGCCTTTAGAGAGGTTTCTTTTAAGATTTAAGTCCTGGACCCCAAACAACCAGAAACAAATGGTTGTTCCATGTTGTTCCAATATGGCAATTGAAATCCTTTACATCTTTGGGGAAACATCCATTTCTTTCTGATTGGGACTGGAGTTCCAGGGGGTTCATGCACCGAGGCCTTGTGACACTTGAGCAGTTCCGAAACCTGTCGGGGCCACGGCGGTCCGCGAAGCTGCACCAGGCCTCGTTCAATCCTGGGACACCGAATTGACACCGAGGGCGTTTTGGGGGAAGAATTGATGAGAACTGAGAACTAGACCTCTAGAATCCAGACCTCTAGGGTTTGGTGGGCCATCCCCTCATAAATCCATCTCTCTCCACATCCCTAATCCACCAACCCTGCCGAAAACGCCCCGCCGCGTACCCGCAGTTCCCGACGTCAGGTCATCCCAGGCATCTCCTCCTCGGCCCAGAGGCGGAAGCGGGCGGGCGGGTCGGAACCGCCGGACGTGGCCGAACCGAAATCGCGAAAGACACATGGAAAGGCTGCGCCAGTGGGTTTCAAGGAGCCCATAGATAGCTGAAAGCTTGCCTTTGGTGGGTCCTTTTCCTTGAACATCAGTGGTCAGAATCCGGGGAAGCAGCAGCAGTTTGCCCACAAACACATGGTCAACAGAGCGGAGTTTGGAGGACATGGACGAAGGGTCCATGAGGCCCCTCAACGAGAGACCACCATCTTAGACACCAGCACCAGCCAGTTCGGTTGTATAGACCCCCAGTTCAGAGGTATTTTCTATCCAAGAACCACCCGGAATGGGTGGTGCTGGCAACAATCGCCACGAATACTTGCAGAGAAACCGCTGATTGCCGATTGGGACGATCAACCAATCCGATTTGGATGAATTGGTGCATAGAACAGATGGTACCAAGAGAGTTTGGTCCAAGCGTACCGAGTGTCACACTTGCCTGAATTGGGTGCAGGACTGCCATGGTTGCAGGACCTTCTCACACAGTGCTTCTTCGAAGTGATGGATTGCAGTTTGCGGAGACAACTTTCAAGGACAATGCAACATTCCACCTCTGGAGGAAGGAATGCTTTGCGTCCATGTTTCTGCAGGTGGAAATCAAACCCTGCTGCTCCGAAGTGATGGTATTGCTGTGGCTTGCGGATGCAACCTAGATGGACAATGCGAGATTCCACCTTTGGAGGAAGGAATGTCGTACACACAGGTTTCTGCCGGCCGCTTTCATACGGTGCTGCTCCGAAGTGATGGTAATGCAGTGGCTTGTGGAGACAGCAGCCATGATGAATTTTTTATTCCACCTTTGGAGGAAGGGATAGCATACATCCAGGTTTCTGCAGGCTTCTCTCATACGGTGCTTCTCCGAAGTGATGGTAATGCTGTGACCTGCGGATACAACGATCGGGGACAATGCAATATTCCACCTTTGGAGGAAGGAATGTCGTACACCCAGGTTTTAGCAGGGGGGGCTCGTACGGTGCTTCTTCGAAGTGATGGGACTGCTGTGGCTTGTGGATTAAATGATTGTGGACAGTGCAACATTCTACCTCTGGAACCTGGGCAATTCTACACTGCTTCATCTGGCAAAGAATTTGTTTTTCAACTAGATTTTGCTCGTGAAGATGATGCAATCATGCTGTCATGCTCGAGTTTGGCTGGGCATGAAGTGCTGCGATTGAAGGCACTGGGGGGCGATTTGGCTTGGGAGACACACAGGCGCATTGCGCAGGAACTGAGTATTAGCCTTCCGAGTCTTCGACTCGTCCTGCCTGATGGAGCGTTGTTGGCCTCAGTATGCAGAGCAAACCCACTGGCTACCATTGCAGATGTGAGTGAACACTTATCCCGCGTGTCGTGAACATTTATTTTGAGCGTCTTCCTACCCTTTCTTGACATGAAGCATAGTCTGACTGAAGGATAACACTTGCATGAAACATGACACATCATGAAACACGATTATGAACCACTATTTATGACCATAGTTTGTTGTCATAGTAGATGTTCATGACCATCTAGATTTACACTATCCCTTCAACAAGCTTGAAGCTACCGCTGAAAAAAGTGGCCTTGCAGGGCCACGGTTTGGTTGTTTATTGAATGAGGTCGTCGACTGTGGGGCCTTGGCATTCGAAGCACATATTTTACAAAAAAGATCGTGAGGATATTTTTGATGGTCATAGATTCCTCCAAGCTGTGCAAGTCTAGTCTAGTCTCCCTTTCCTTTTGACACCAGCCAAGTTCGGCCTTTTGGATCCTTTTGCAAGATCCGGAAATGACTTGGGGACTGCCCGCATCATGAGCGTTTCGCCCGCATCATGCACGTTTCATCGACCCCCGGCCGCGAAGACCCGAACCCTCCATGCCATGCCATGGCTGTGAGGAACTCAACGAACAGGTTTGGCTGACACCCCTCAAAAAGAGGTTCCTTCATTTGACCTGGGGTCAACTCACCGGAAACGCCCGAAGTTTTTCACTTCCCCACAGCCTTGACAGCCACATTGGTTTAGTGATGATGGACAGCATGCCACATCTCCGGTTTCAGCCCGTACTTTCTTCCTGCGCCGCGAACGCCCTAGAAGTATCTCTTTCTCAAACTCGCACCAGGCCGCCAAGAGCAAGCTGAATTCATCTCCCAGGCACGGCACCGTGAATTTCGACCGTGCACCGGGGTGGGTCCACAAAGCATCAACAACCTATAGCTTCCCCAGCAAAAAACATGGTTTTTCAATGTGAAAACCGGCATTTTTCATGGGACACTGGTCTTACAAAGATTTACAACGTATTTTTCGCCCGTCACAAGCTAAGCAGCACCAGGACGCTAAGCAGGAGGTGCTAGGGGCTCCAATGGACACCTATAGGGCCGTAAACCGCCGCCCCAGAAGGTCAATCTTCCAGAAGTGTCCAAAGGGGGTGCGATCCATGGAGGTTCCACCTGGGCGCCCAATCCACTCACTCAGGGGCGATCCCTCCCCGAAATCGTACCTTTTCTTTTCCTTTTATGATCACGATCACCATGATCACGTACGCATGATCACGTGGCTGACCCACCCGGAGTTGACTCAAGTTCTGAGCAAAACCCCTCCACCGAGCCTGGAATTGGAGATGGCGAGCCATTCTGGAGACGGCAGGGGGGGGGAGTGAATGACACACCCGCCAGTGAAGTGAAAAGCGCATACATGAGCGACAGCCAGGTGAGCTGGCTGCTCAAAACTTCCTGCATTTAAACTTTAAACTGCATATCAGGGATGGAGGGATGGTGGATGATACCCAGAAAACTGCATATTAGGGATGGAGGGATGATTTTGAAAAGCCGAATCCATCTGGAGGCCTGGAGGTGATGAGTGTCTCATCACCTCCTGTTGACCCTCATGCCCCGCCCTTCTCCTCGACTCGCGCTTCTTCCATACCACACGCGCATGCCGACCTCGTCGTCGGGCGTGTCCAGTCCAAGCCCCCCCGGAGAATCCGAGCCACACCGCCGAGCATCGAATCCATGCGATCGCTTCGCCGTAGGGGCGGGGCGGTCCTGGCGCCATGCTCGATCGGTCACTGAACCGCCCATGCAACCGGATCAGTGCATCAAACCGGATCAAACCCATCCGACCCCTAACGAAGCAAAGCATTCTTTCCTCGGTGGTTGGTCTGCAGCTGACGGAGTAGAGAGATGTGGATCGGCTGACAACGTGGGTCAGGTCGGGTCGGGAGTCTACCAGGACACCCATACCGGCCTAAGGGATGTCGATAGCCCCGAACAGAGGTGATTTGAGGTGTCCATGAACCACCCCGACGGTGGGTCCAGGTATAGGAATTATATGCATGTATACGCGAGTGTCTACGTAGTCTATGTAGTATCCGCTGAGTCCTGGAATGCTACATACTGCAGTCTTCTACTTTACTCATTATTATGCTGTCATGCTTCCAAGTTCTCCCAAAAGCTGTCCAAATGCACATCGCTTCGAACATAGCTCTGTCCACGCTATTATGAGGGAGGATCGCAGAAACCCGATACGGGGGTACCCCCGGTCGTGTACACGAATAGGTGTGTGGTCAGCCGGATCGAGCCCTCTAGAGGTCTTCCCAAGCCACGGATTTGATGCAGGAGCTTCTAGAGATGCTCCTGGGTGAGGTCTGGCACCTAGACCTCGGGAGCATGACGGGAAGGCAAGAGAAGGGTGGAGAACATGGCACCCTTCGTCTCACGAACTGTGTCGAATCCTGGTACATCTTCCAAAACGACAAAGCAAAGGCTTTCAGCATTTTCGTGGGCTGTGTGCACTGGTTTTCTGGTTTGGGGCACCCAGAATCTATTGCTGTGTTCCCTCAGGTTTATCTTTCTCTTGCCGAGTGCGGGATCAGCATCCCTAGAACAACGGGGCTGAGAAGAAAGCACATGTGACGGGAACCGCCTCGTTTTGGAACGCAGGATTAGTCTCGTTTGGAATGTGGGAGATTATTCTGGTTTTGGAACCGGTGTCTTTGATGCGTTCTCCTGTCGTGGTACCCATTCAAGGTTTGTTGTTTCCTTAAGTTCCTTAATTCTTGTGATATGTGATTTCTAGGTTTTTTCCCTGTTCACAGTCAGTGTTTGTTCTTTTAGTACCTTTCTTGTTCTCAGTCTATTTATTTTGTTTTGTGGTCGTCTCCGTCTCAGTGGGCGGTTCTTCAAGTCTTCAAGGTTCGTTGTTTCCTTCTTGTGATGTGTGGTTTCTATGGTGCGTTTCTTGTTCACATGCGATGTTTGTTCTGTTCTGTTTTTTGGATTTGTGCTCGGCCCAGCTGTATATTTTCTTTTGGTTTTGCCGTTTTGTTGCTGTCGAAGTTCTTGTGACAGGCTGTTCCTTGTGTTTGTGGTAATTTTGGCAGCCGCTCTTAGAGTTGCATGTTTGGACCTCTACTGGGTTGTATTTCTTCAGGTGTTTTGCTTCCTTCGTCTATGTGTTTCCTTGCTTTCTGGAGAACTCTTTTCTTCGTTGCTTTGCGTTGTAGTGGTGGTGGTTCTTTCTATAGCCATTTGGTCGGTCAACCAGGTGGGCAACCGGACTTGTTCTTTTCTCGATGTTGGGGATCGGAGTTGTGTCAATGGCGTTCACTTTGTATGAGGCCGTTGGTCATTGGTGAGTGCGAGGAGAAAGGAACCATTCCAACGTAGCAGACCTTCTGTGAGCCACCCGCATTCCAACGTGCAGCAGAGCTTTTGTGAGCCACCCGAAGATAGAATTTGGAGGAGGAAGGTGCCGTTCTACACCCAAGGGTAAAATTTCGGAAGAGCAGAAAGGAGCCTTTGCGAACCTTTTTGATTGGCGCCGTCCAAAGGCTGCAACTTCAGGCATGAGGCCGGTCTTCACGGGCTACGTGAAGCCAAGGGCTCCTGGGGCCGCAAAGGCCATGGTAGGCACCAAGGCACCCAGGACGAATGGCAGTATTTCAGTCATTACCATCAGCGGAGGTAGACGTACCTTGAATACAAGGAGCACAAAAAGCATGAGGCACAGATGTGGCAAGAGGCGTTGTTTGCAAGCACAGGCTCTCGCGATTTGTTCAGAAGAGGGTGAACAGCAAAAGCTTGCCTTTGAAACAGGTCGAGGCCTCTTGCCTGCAAGGAACCAAACACACGTCGTTGCCTTGATATCGAACTTTTCACTTTTTGCCGCGACACGTCATAGAACCGCCGACCTAAGGAGATTGCGGCACGGAGTGTGCATTCTTTTCTTCAGGGACGTTTGCTCGCCAGCAATGCAAGTGGAGCAAAGCTGGGGCGCTCTTCCCGAAGCCGCCCACCCGCTGTCCCGGCGGCTGCACGCGGACACCTCCGGCCCGTGCGCCAGCGCAAGTCTTGCGTGGCCGCCGGGTGCTCTGCTGGTGCAAAACTTGTTTTTTTTTAAAGCCTGGCCGAGACGCATGGGGGGAACGGGCGCTTTCTTGCGAGCGATGCTCGAAGAGGGCCCGTTCTCACCATACTCCCGGTCCTAAGCAACCAATAGGCAGTAATAGGTATATGGTGATCTGAGCGTTCATCCCCTCACTAATTTTTCCGTCTAGGCTTGCAGTCCCACCCTTTCTACCTAATGATGAAATGTGGATCACCTGCTATTTGCGGTTGTTTTGAGGAATGAGGACACCCCACTCAACAAGAGCAGGTGGGGTGGCGCACTCTTTTCCAGGGATCTCTAGCTTTGGAGTCAGAGTCTTCCAGCCTGCTTTTTCGACCGAGGCCTTGCAAGAGTTTCAAGAGCCGACTGGGGAGCATGTTTCAAGCCCAGTTGAGGCGTGAGCGGGGCGGAGTCAGACTGGTTAGGTGGCCGTCGGTTTGGTCAAAGATGGGCCAAACAGATGGCTGCTAGAAATATGAAGCTGAGATGAACTCTATACTTGCAATGTGTGAACTCATGAATCAGCCATTTGTTGAACTAGGTTCCATACTGTTCCATGGCCATGAGATTTTACTATCTGTCACTTGTTGCCACGGGATCTGCTTTTCCTCGTGAGATCTAAATCGACTTTTCACCAGGACGGTATGGAGATCCGTGCAATCATGAAAATGCCCGGACGGTGTTTTTTCGAAGTTTGGTTCATGAAACAACTGAGTTGAACACTTCAAACAATCAACAGATTTCAGGGACGGCACAAACCCCTTCTATGGGTAAGGAGTTCGGCACCTGCTTTAAAAAACACCCAAAAAACTCCAAAGATGCAGTCAGAAGCTGGGAACTTTGTTTTGCAGGGGAGAACTGTCACCCAGTCAGATTGCGTTATCCTATTTGGGGATTGGTCCAATAACAACATTTTGGAGGTTGAAGGCCGTCCGGTTAGAACCTTCTCAACTGTGTACACGCACACTCAGTCACACACACCAAGTAGACATTTATTTGGGGGGGACACATGCCTTTTTCCACGCTTCCAACCTCTCTTTCTTGGCCGAAAGAAACGCCCCTGTTTACACACACCTGGTGCAATGCTTCGCACGGTCACCTGCGAGAAGCCGAACGACATCACGTGCTCCGCACCAGGAAGCTCGGTGGAGTATGGGCTCCACGTCGGGCGTGAGCCCGTTGCCGGCAGGAAACGGAGCACGGGGCGGTGGCCGGTGTTGAGCAGCAGCAAAGGGGTTGCTTGACATGTTGGTGTTGGGGCAAACCCCTGCGTGAACAGGCGGAAATGTCGTGAGAGTATGGAGAATGGCCCACTAAAGCAGTAACAGTTGGAAAGGCCGTTACTAAGCCACTAAGCATCATCCACTGGGCAGTAATGGGATATGCCCAAGACGGACAAGCGGCCCTTAGTGTAGACTCTTGATTAATAAGCCCTGCGTTTGAAGAGGATTTTCAATCCAAATGGGGGGGGTGTATGGTCCTCAAGAGTCTACCTTCAGTTCGGGACTTGTTTCACGTGTGCCATGGTTCTTTTTTCGTAAAGAAACGTACGGAAAACGGCCGTGTGGCCCACGTAGAACTCGGTCGTGAGAATCCGGGCCGACACGAAGCGTTCCAGAATGGGACTGAGGGTCCAGACAGGTCCAGAAGTTCCGGTGGTGAAGGCGTCTGACCCCATGGTCCAGAGCCCGTGGTCTGGATCTTCGAAAGCCACATGAAACCAACCCATCCGGCACGACCTGTCTGGGACTGCGGGACTGCGGGAAACGGCATGCGGCATATATGAAACGGCCAAAAACGATGTTGGCGGTAGTTGAAAGGGGGTCGGATTGGCCGTCCGGCAGTGCCAGACAGGTCATGTTGTCATCGGAGGTTGGGAGGTTGAGAGGTTGGGGGGATCGCTGCCCCGCACCTGTCGCGGTTCCACCACGGGTCGTCAACCGTCGGACGGAGGACGGCCGAACCGACCCTAGGGAGATCGCTTCGATGTGGAAAAAATGGGAGTCTCCAAGGTCGAAGACCTTGACTCCCAGGAGTCCCAAGACTGAACATCTGACCAATAACCGGAGATGACTGGGCATTTCCTCTTTTTTGGGTGAAGACAAGATCGCCTGGAAATAGGGTGTTTGCAAAACACAAGGTCCAAAAAAGTCGAACCTGGGCTTCGAAAGGGAACAACTGGGGGGTGGTATCAGGTCTGTTTCTTCTTTTCACCTTTAGCAAACTGGAATGAGGAAAAAAAGGAAAAAACACCATGAACTACCCCTTTCGGTCCTCATTGGTCGTCTCATTGCGTCTCAGACTGGTCCATTGGTCACCACTGAAGCTGCGCTCGGCTCGTTCGCACCAGGACCTCGTCCCATCGACACCTCCGAAGCGGTGGTGTCTTGGGTTCAGCGGAGTCCACGCGGCGGAGAAACGACCGGGAGCAGTGGCGGATCCGGGGCCCCGGTTTTGGGCACCCTTAGGGTTTAGGGTTTTGGTGTTTCGATGCCCCGGTTTTAAGAACCAGATCCAGTAGATCCAGCAGTCACGTTCGACGGGGTGGTGGGATGTTTAGTCCCAATCCAGGGGCTGTGGATGTTGTTCTGGGCACCCTGAAAACCTCCATGGATAGCACCCCGTCGAACGTGACTGCTGGATCAGAGAAAGACATGGAGCGACAACTGGACGTGGGGATTTGTTGGAAGGTTCTTTGTTGGTCAGGATTCGTATACGGTAGTGGTGAAGGCCGGGTCTCTTGGATATTCTTGTCTTTAATTGTTAAAAGTATAGACTGGGAGTATAGTTGACATGGTGGTTACGTGAATGGCACCAACCAGCTTTTTGGTATTATTGAACATGGTCATCCAGCTAAGCCTATTTTCCACTTCCATGCTTGTTTCGTTGGGGGAGTGCTTGGTCTAGGATCCAGGTCCTAACGGTGGTGAGAGAAAGGAGAGCGGAGAAGCCGGGGCAACAGTGGTCGAAGAACCCTATAAACTATCCCATAGATACCCCAGGCGACGGGTCCTATAATCAGGTCCCGTAATAAGTACCTCAAGCCCTGGAAGGGGCAACAAAGGTTCGAGAGATTTTTCTGGCCGAAGCCATCGGCGGAGTTGCTGCTTGACGTCGGGAGATTTTCCACACCACATCAGTCATGTCACGTGCAGCGTGAAGAGTCGTCGCATCGCTGTCTCGCGCTGTCTCGCGCTGTCTCGCGCAGATCACAGAGAAACGAAGATTGAGAGAGTGAAATCTGTTTGCCCAGAATCGTTATGAGCATGTCGGTGGTACATCCAAGACCGTGACATCAGTGCCAGCATTTCAGCGTCTTTTTCCACGGCGCGGCACTACCAGGACCTTCCAACAGGTGGTTTTTGGACACCTCCTAAACCTCTAAGAGGCTGTTTACAGACACCTCTTGGTGTCGGTCCTGGTACATGGTACTTTTCACATGTTCAGAACGAGGATGCACCTGCCACCCCGCGTTTCTGCTTCACCCCGAGTTCCGCTTCGGTGCCGAAGCGCGAACTCGTGACGAACTCGTGACGCGAGGTCGGACCCTTCGTGGATGCCGCCTTCCAGTACTTCGGCGTAGAGGACGAGGTGCCGACTCGGTTGTCGGAAGGTTCCCTTCCGCCCTTCGACCGGTTTTGGAGCGGAGGAGAGTGGGCAAAGAAGTGGGGCCTGGAAAGGCGAAGTCTGAGTAACTCAAGTACCAAGGAGTTCAGCGCCCGTTCTGAACTCTAAGGGAGGGGCGAAACAAACAGAAGGTGTCCCCGGACACATCACATCCACTCATTGTGGTTGGGGTCTAAACACCATCCCAAGCTGGAACTGCAGATTTCGATCCTTGGCTTGAAGAACATGTCTCAAAAGTTATTTCACCCTGAACTGGCGCCATCACCTCAAAGTAAGCAAGCACATTCAGAACTAATGAGTGTGATCAGATGGTTTTTTGCATGGCAGAAGACCCTCATCCAAGCACCTTTGGCAGACCTCGACCAGAAACCTGAGAGTCTTTGGAGCGCTGAGCGCTTGAGGCCCCCTGTTATGGTTTCCAGATCACTTTACATGTTCAAAGGGGATGAAAGAGATTCACTGTATAGAATACCTTTTGGGTCGCACTATTCTGAGCAGCTTGCAAGACCCTCAAGGCTTTTTCCCGCGCCTGTCATTTGCTGTTGACGTACGCAAAAGCACAGCTGCCTTCCTGTGACAGTTCATTCTGAACGGTGCGAAGTCATTCTGAAGAAGATCCAGTGACTACTGGGGTTCTGGAGAAAGACATGCCAGACATTGCCAGACACTATCAGAGGCCTCCAGCAGCATGCAAATCATCTCATCCAAGAGGTGAAGACCCCCCTGAAGCAACAAGGCATATGCACTCACTCTATGAATCCTCATGTGGACGGTAGATTCATGTTGATTCATAAACCACCCATAATATGGAGAGGTTTTGCATGCCTGGGGGGGGATAGAAGAACACCTGAGCACCCGGAGACCGTGAGCTTGCTCCGCAGACTCAACCGGTGGCTTGTCCCCTCCCGCCGGTGGAGGACGGGTAATCACCGGGAGCTGACGGGGGAGGTGACGGGTGATGAAAGAAGTCATCCGTGGAACATCCTGGAAGAGACCCAGTAGCTACTGGCCTCCAACCTAAATAGCGATGGCCTCCAACCTAGTAGCTTCTTGCTACTAGTAGCCAACCTAATAGAGATGGCCTCCACCTAGTAGCGTCCTTGTCACTAGTTCCTGGAAGAGAGCCACATGGAACCTCAAAACTACTGGTTTGTATAGAGTTTTTTTTCCCCTTTTCCTGTCTGGTCCATGCGGTCAGGTGGAACCTGTGGGTCTCGGAAGAAACCGGGGTGGTACTGAACTCAAGTCACGTCCGAGGCTCATCCGATGTTTCTTGGGGTGTCCAAGTCACTTCTGCCATGAGATTCGTAGCTGAAGACGCCCCACTTCTTGGGGCGTCGCGGTCGGGAGGTGTCCGACAGGGACTGCAGGGCGGGACGCTGGCTCCGGCTTCGCCACCTGGAATCCCCCAGCTCCTCGTTGGATCAGACGACACCTGAGACGACACCTGGCATCGGCCCTTTCAGACGAGCGTTTCCAGGGTTGCTGAAGTCAAGTCAGTGTGGTTGTGCGAGTTCAGACGAAGACAGCGCACGAAGAACGCGATTGAGACGAAGAGGTCAGAGGTGTTGAAGGTTGAAGATGAAGTTTGGCAGGAGTTGATGGCACAGTTGGAAGATCCAGCTATGTGCAACAGGGATCGGTATTTTTTCCACAGGGACCCCCCCTTTCTTGCCCTGGGGCTACCCCGAACCGAACCCAGCTAAATCGTTGCTATAGCGGTCGGTCTACCCAAATGGTGCTCCTCTTGTGTTGTGCCTCGCCCCTACCAGCTTCCCGTAGACCACGTAGTAGAGACTTGGTTCCTCGGTTCTTTTCTTTTGGGCGTGTCGTTCTTCCTGCGTGTCGTGATATCGTGATCAACACCAAGCAGCCACAACTTCTTCCAAGAGTTTGGGCAGGAAGCAACAGCAACTCACACAGATCTTCACCTTTCTTTCCCAGCCCCACCCCTTTCGGCCGAAGTCACCGGACCTTTCCCTCCCCTGCCAACCCTCACCCGTTCGGAGCGGCCGGAATGGCCGTGGCACCTCTCTCCTCGGCAGGAGTGGCTCCCAGCGGTGCTGGAGCTGATGAAGAGCCCAGCCCGACCATCCTCCGTGGACGTGGAGACCGTCCGGGACGCCCGGCGTCCGCGCTACGAGACCCGGGCCCAAGCTCCGCTCCGTCCGTGGTCTGCGACCAGCGATGAGGGGAAGAGAGGAGGCGAGGAGCGGATGGCAGCGACGGCTTGAAAAAGCCAAACTCCGGGTCATGGTGGAAGTGGACGTGGATGCAATGCCATGGCACCCTCACCCAAAGAAAGCTTAGTCCTTTTGAGAGGAGTGAGTGAGTGAGTGAGTGACCACCGATCTGACTGACTGACATTCGCTTGAGGCTCCGGAGGATGCCGTCGAGGGCGAAGAGGACCCAGTGCCGCACACGCACCGTGCCCGGGCCATCTAAAAGGCCATTGAAAGGCCATTTGAACATTTTGAACCTTGGTGCTTGGGCGGAAAAGGTGATTTTATGATAGTTTATGACTTTTCTTTTACTTTAGTGACTCCTGATGAAACTGGGGAAGATCGTTTTGTTGCTCTCGGCTTCCGAATCCGCCCATCCGGCCATCTGTTGTGGCCTAAGAAACTCAAAAAGGCTCATGATCTGCAAATGACTATCAGCACCTTCCAACAGGTCTCCGACATGGAGGTTTGTTAGGCCCAAATACAGGTTTCAATATGTTTCAATTGGTGACCTGGCAGGTTTCGGTGCTGGTAGGAGTTGGATGGTTGGAAGTTGGAGTCCCAGCAATCCTAATTGATGATCCGACCTAAACCGACAGTCCCAGGCCTTGGTCTGGTCTAAAGGCCTGCACTTTGGATTCCTCCTACCGACTCCACTTTGCACCCTGATCTCTATCCACCCAAGCTTATCTCAGATAGGCTCATCATCTGAGATGGGCTGATCCAGCTAGATTCCCATCCTACCCAGTCAGTGGGGGGGATTGGTTCCCCCACCCAGTCATGAACATGCTGTTCCGCGCTCAACAGGTTCCCCTGTTCCATCCTCATCGGACGAGCCCAGGGACTCTCCGAAATCCCTCCAGCGACCGAAGTCGTCGCTTCCTTTGCATGCTGAAATTGAACGAACTGAAGGACAACCAGGGCGTGGAGGGCTTCACTCACCTGTGCCGCACTCAGAAAACATTCGATTCACCCGTCGCCTTGTTTGGGGGAACAACTGCGAAGCTGGACGAGACTCTTCCGTGGAAGCTTCCACGATCACACGCATTGCATGGAGAGGACACAGGGGACACAACTAGAAGCTGCAGATAAACCACGTGCTGCATATGAAGAGGTTCTTCACAAAGGGCAGCGGGCAGACCTCCGAGGTTCGTGCACCTTTTGCGATGTGTAGCATCACATCGCATCCAGCGATTTTTATCCAAGAACATCTTATTCTTTGGATCTAGTATCCCCGTATGCATATCCTCTATGAAATGGGGAGGGTCAACCCCATATAAAACGCTTTAGAACCGGTACCCAGAACTGACAGGGGGATGATCTAGTCATTCTGGCCTGGCCGTTTTCTCATTGGGAAAAACTATGAGATGATCTCTAGTGACTGTGATGACGATGAGACATGATGGCCTGTGACTTGGATGTGATAGTGATATCCATATGGATCCACTGGCACCTCACCTGAGGTACGGTGAGCAAACACACACACACACACTTTTGATGAAACAACGGCGCCAGGTGAGCAAACTGGATGCGGTCGTAACGAACCAGGTCGATGCGATGGATCTGTGGAGGTGATGTGATGCCTACAAGGACTGTGAAGTGATCTCCTCCAATCTTTAGAGAGGATGCGACCTGCTCACCGACCTGCTCGCCAGCGAGCGAGCGAGGGTCCGCGCACGACCTGGGACGATCTCCGTTGGAGGGTCCGCGGTCCTTTGGGTTTTGTAGGCCAGAGGGGCAGGCACAAGCCATGATCTTTCATTGTGATGTACTTTGGTTTTGTGGACTTTGGTGTTTCTCCGGGTTCCTGCTTGAATCCTCATCCCTAGACTTCCAAGACCATCAAACAAATGGTTGACCTGGTGTTTGTAGTGTAAAATCCTTAGTTGATTTACTGTAGTTGATTCGGTATTGCCTATTAAATTAATGGTGGTTGGAAGTGGTTCCTGCTTGAATCCCCATGAAAATCAGAAAGGAGTTCTTTTTTCTCCTGGCTTCCGAATCACTCCGAATCAGCCACATGTGTTCTTTTTGGCCCCGGAAGCTTGCCTGCCCCAAACCGCCACACCAACTCTGGTGCCAACCTACTGGAAGATCTATGCTCCAGAAGTGCGTTTTCTTTTTTTTTCCTCCCCGAAAGCAAATAGAATGGTTTCAGAGGTGAGAAATGGCACAAGGGCCCTCAAATTTGGGGGTACAGATCGAGCCCGATATAAAAGACATCTTTGGGTTCCAGTGCCATCTACTCTGAAACCACTGTAGAGGCGTGCGGAAGATCCTTCGTTTGCAGGATCTCCATCCACAGGGAGACTCTGATGTGATCTCACCAGTCGATGGATGACCGTTTTTTCGGAATTTTTGCACACGAGTTGTGGGAGCGGAGCCGGAGGGCTAGGGCTTTCCGCCTCGCGGCTCTGTCAGTCAGTCAGCAGGAGGGGCGAGTTGTGTGACCCATGAGGACCTGGTTTTTTTCTGTTCACACCGGGTCCAAGGCTCGCCGACGTGTTTCTCGAGATCGCGAGCGAGGAGGTGAAGGCGCAGTTCTGGGCAGTTCGAACCTGGGGGGGTTTGGTGTGTGAGGCGAACGGTCCATTTTTTTGGACGTTCGGTTTTGGTTGACAGTTTTTCGAAAAAAACGGTCAAAGTTCTGAAGGCGGTTTTGACTTCTTGGCACATGGACGAGATTCATTTATGTTTAATTATGATCGTCGGGGGACATCTTCAGGAAGATGGGGTGTTCAGAGTGAACATCAAACTAAACGAACTAAATGCTATATGGACACTCATGATTCTTCTTGTTTTCAATGGCTGGGGGTTTGCTTCTAACCTCTAGCAGGGCACACACACACACACACGTCTTGTCGTTCCCACCACTAGCCAACATCAGCCAACCAGTCAAGACTCTCAGGAGCAAGGCCCCCGCATCTTTGGCTGGCGCCGGCCTTGCTTCGGCGAAGCGCCTTTGGCACGGTTCCGGGAGAAGCAGGCACAAGAGGGGCTGACGAGCTCCTCGAAGCACACCTGGGAGAAGGCCGGCGGGATCCCTTTTTTCGCCGCACCAGGCGTTTCGCGCGTTTCGCGATGGGCTTGGCACGCGTTTGCGATCTCTCTCTCTCTCTCTCGCTTCTTCGCTTCTTCGCGTTGGCGTTTGGCGAAGAAAGGCCAGGTGCGATGGTTGAAGGGCGCCCTGGATCGGGGTTGCAAGATTCAGTCAAGGGAGCGCATCCAAATGGCAGTCTTGAGTTGTGCGGGAAAAAGGGTAGTTTCTATTTTCCCGAACTGGTTGAATCCACTGGCATGCAACATGTTTCTATTTTTCCTAGTGACTGGACATTACCTTTGTGGCTTTTGTTGACCAACATGTCTTTTTCTGATACATTTTAAAAGTATTTGGGTTTTTCCTTTCTTATCTACCCCAAAGACGTAAGAAGAACCACTTCCAATCTATAAATATAGAGAGCAAATCCAAGTGACCTTGGGATCCCTACAAACCCGTGACTTCTGAAAAAGACTGAAGCTGACAACAAGTCCCGTACATTCCATGTGTGGCATGTACTTGCAGCTTGGGTGGTTGGTTTCAGGGGGTCAATCATACGGTTTTCCTGGAAGAACTCCAACTGCCGACTTTCTGCCGAACAAAAGTACGGCAGACATTCTGCACAGTTGGATCTAGGTATAGTACTATACCAGTCCCAGACTTGTCTGAGAATCATTTCAAGTCGTTAGTGACTTCGAGTTCTCCACGTCGTTCTCCGAGACCCAAGCACACCGTCAGGTACGGGCCAAGCTGACAGAAGCCGTGCGCTTCGGTTGGCGGGAGGCGCACTGGGGGGGGGTCGGTGCCACATGGTGCGGCAAACGGGCACCAACAGTGGTTTATATCAAAACAAAAAAAGACACCTACCAGGACTTTTGAAGGGGTGTCCAATGGACTACCCCACACTACCTATAGGCTTCCATTGGGCACCCCTTAGATGGTCCTGGTAGAAACAATGGCTTCCAACCTAGTACTGTAGCGATGGCCTCTCCAAAACTGCTTCTCAAAGTCATTGCTGCCGACTAGTGACTAGTCAAGAGACCGGGCCAAGAAACAAACGAAACCAATCCGATGTTCATGAGCACACATGTGTAGGAATGCATGTGCAGAAGCCTTTTCCTGTGCGTTCTCCTCTCATGAGGCTTTCGTAGTGACGAAATTCCCAACATTCCCAGCCTACGTCACCAGCTCACTGTGCCAACCTGGGAGCTAAGCGGCGCCACAGCGCAGGAGGATGAACCGACCACAGGACGGACAGGCGCGTTCGGGGCCCGCGGCCCGCTGTCTCCCTGGTTCTCATCGCGCTGGAGAATCCGAGATCCGTATATAGATGGATGAATTTTGCATCTGCATCTCCCAGCGCCCCCTAAGGGGTGCCTAATTATAGCCCCTTATGGGTTCAGGGGTATCTATTCACCACCCCATGGCCAGGGGGGTCCTGGTCTGTGTCTTTGATGTTGAATCCAACGGATGGATCTCTGCCCTCGGTCTTACGCTTCCATCGCGCAGGGCCCAGCTGGAGCCGAGCTTGGCCTGGGTGATGGAGCGGTCAATCACTGTGAATCACCGGTATCCCAAAAGGTTTGGTATTCCAGATGTGCTTCCGTAAATAGTAACATGCCGATTCGATGTGGGGGACCTTCAGGGGGTCGTCTATATCCAAGTTGCACGCCATATAGAGCAACTAGGTTGCAGTTCCCCAGGTCGCCTGGTGTTTTTCCCAGGCGCCGCTTGGGGAACCGCTTGGTCACTCCCACCTAGCGCTTTCTCCGTTTGCACCATGTTTTTCACTTCGTGAGTTGAGCGATTTGTTTCAAGAACTGGCTTGGTTTCACCCACCGATCTTCATCTAAGGAACATTTCAACACAAAAGCACTCACATCGTCCAATTCCCGGGTCGCCAATTCGATCAAAGAATCTAACACAAACGGATCCACTAAAAACAACGGCTGTAAAGGAGGTGGAAAGTTAAAACGAGCTAAACTTCGATTTTGTTCGAACGCCAACCGCAACAACACCACACTACACAGACCTAAAACAGCTTCTGAATCCATTAAGCCAAAACCTGCACGACACTGAAACATGAAACGCAACAAACTTTCGATCTTCGCCCCCCCCCCCCCCCCCCCTGCTCCCTTCTCCTCTCCCCAAAACACCACCAACATATGTAACACACACATATCTATATATATATATATTATATAATACCCTGGGAGTCAAAGACTATAAAAAGAATGGTCTTTAGGGGAACTGAAAGGGAACTTCCTTTACTCCAGCCAGTAAAAATATAGTCTTTGGACTTCTATTGTATACACATAACAAAGTAACACAATCAAATATTGGGTGCGTCGCTCTCCCCAGGCACCCTGCGGGTAAACCACAAAAACACTGTAAATACCAGTAACAACTGATGCCAAACGCTATAAGACTACCAGGCAACCTGGGGAACCGCTTGCAACTACCAGCACCCGAAACCTGCCAGATCACCAATTGAAACCAGTTAGGGCCGGGGCCCTTCCCAACCCTCCATGTCGGAGACCTGTAGAGTTGGGTGCTGGTAGAGAATTTCCTCTTCTGGATTTGGAAGCGTCCTTGGCACCAGCTCGAGGAAGGGGCATTCAAAGGGAACCCTTCAGGGTGTCATCCTCGAAACAGAACACCACTTTCGGTGGTATGGTTGATCACGAACAAAAGAAACAGATTACAACCAGGTCACGTGTCTGAGTCCCATGCAGTGAGTGGAGTAGCTGGGCACCCCTATCCTTCAACAAGCACCCCGACATCGAACTCCTGGTAAGGTCTGAACACCCTTGTCTTCTTGAGCAACAACATGTACCCGGGCCGGGGTGTCTAATAATAGCTCCTCAGAGGTTATTTGGGGGTGTCCATGAACCATCCCAAACCCAGGGGCCCTGGTATATAGTTTGAACTTCTGGGGCAGGGGACTGGGGACTCGGCTGCTCAAACAGCGCCGCTGGGCCTGTCTTCCGAACGTGGGATTGCTTGGAGGTTGGCCTGCTGGATTTGGTGGCAAGCTCACCCTCGACCTGGATCCCTGGGCAGGAGGTGTGCGGTGGTGCGGTTTTGGGAGTCTTCCCACGCCGGAAGCGGAGACCGGAATCGATGCGGCTCCACCCCGTGCGTAAACCCCGTAGCGGAAGACCAAGCACGTGGCGGAAGATGCCACACATGGAGTGCATGGAGGCGGTCTTTCCGCACGAATCTTTTGCGTTCGATCGAGCCACTGGGAATCGGAGTGGGTCGCCAGCAAGAGTTGGCACCAGCAATCTCTTCAGTCGCCCTTCGGCAGAATCGACGACCCAATTCTTATGGAATCCCCGTCTCGAGCATGATCCATCCCGAAATGTGTAAATCCCCGTACCTGGGGAAGATGTTTCTTTCCGGCTCTGTGTGCGCCAAGTATGTCAGACACCCGAATCTGTTTGCCACGAGCGCACAACACCACGTGCCATGCCGTGCCTCCAGGTCATCGCGGTAATGTGGCTTTACCCAATCTGAACGACGAAAGCTGCTGGGCAGAGTCTGTTGTGGGGCAGGATTCGGGGCAGGGGAGTGAGCCACCCAAACGACCAGCACAGCACGAGCTCAGCCTATGAATCAGCCTGTGAAACGTCAATGCATGCGGAGATGGTGAGCACGGGAGACCTGTGGATAGGAAAGGATCCTAGTTTGGGCGCTTGATGGATGTTGGTCCAAAACAGAGCTTGCTCAGGTCATATATGAGCAACCCCTTTTATTTAGGCTTTACTAAGTCTACGGCATGCTCTATTTGATTGTCAATCATCAGTATTCGCTTGTGAGCGAGATAGGGCCCCACATAAACGAGATATTTTTGCTTGACGACACTAAAGTAGTCTGAACGAGATAATGTGATTTGCCATAAAAGTAGTCTGAACGAGATACTGTGACATGACCTCCACATATGGTCAATCTTCCAGGGCCTTGAAGGGGTGGTTAATGGACACCTTAACCTCTAAGGGGCTATCAATAGACACCCCTTGGAGGGTCCTGGCTTATGTCCTTTTGATGAACCCTTTTAGCACGGAACGCCCAGGCTTAGCCATGCACATGGTCGGCGTGGACGCGATCCTGGAGGACGAGATCGGCGCCGTGGACGCAAGGGTGATGAAGGAGGGTCTGGATGAAGGAGTAGGGCTGGGTAGGGAACTGATCGTTTTGGCGTTTTTTTTCGTGCAGATGATGGTAGTTGTAACCATTCATGTTGCAATATTCCAGGAAAGCCAGAGCATAACGATGCACACACCTCACATGTAGTGGGGTGTGTGCGGAAGATGCTCCTTCCAGACATTTGATCCCACACCCCTAAGAGACTAAAACCGATTGAAATACCAGGACACCTTAAGGGGTGTCTATTGATAGCCCCTTAGAGGTGATTCGGGGTGTCCACTAACCACCCCTTGTGGGTCCAGGTAGTGGATTCAGATGTTTTCCGCATCTTGATCTGCCCAGTTGGGTCGTCCTCTTCACATCCGACCCATTCAGATCCTTTGTTAGGTCCTGCCACCGGGTCGTTCCCGTTCCCGTGCCCTTCGACCGACCTTCGGTGTTTCGTTCCCGTTTCGACACGCTTCGACATGGACTTCGACCGACACCCTGAGGCAGCGATGAAGCCTCTTGGTTGGACATCAAGGCCGATGTGCAGAAGGTCAAGAATGAGGCACGTGCTCCCGTCGGCCTTGATGCCCAACCCTTGGGCCGTGGACCCGTGGGCCGTCACCGGCCGGCACTCGGCGCCCAAGAGTCGAAGACGCACGCACCCACGGGCCACGGGCGTGGTTGGAGAGCCAAGGAGCGTGTGAAGATCTGTGGGGAGCATCCGTGGGTCGAAGCAGGGTTGGGGGGCAGAAAGCACACGGAAAAGGACCTTTTGATCTGAAGCAAAGACAAGTTGGAGAGCTCCGGTAGTGGGAACAAAAGCACCAGCTTTCTTTTTTGGGGTGGCCCATCGGCGCCCACCAGCGCCAGCCAGCCAGCGCACCGGATGGACGTGTCCGTCGGTGGACCACAAGACGACGTTCACACGTCCACTGACGACCAGCTATGACCAGCTTCGCGTCTGGTCGTGTGGACCCCTGAAAACACCTGCACCAGCGGGTCTGGGGGGTGTGAAGGCTCTTGCTTGACTGTTATCCCTGTGGGACCGTCCAAATGGACGCTTTCGCAGCGAGAAAGGAATGTAACGAGGAGGAGTGAAAAACGCAGGAGGAGGTTTTTTGGTTGGGAGGTTGCCGCTGTACATGGTTTTGCAGATTCTGACCTACACCCAGTTGAGTGGATTTGCCCATGTCCTCCGAGACCTGCTAATGAAGTGGGGTAGAGGCCGGCAGAGGAAAGATCCGGTGCGTCATACAGGGTCTTTGACATGCAATAGCGTCAGGTACCTGGGTTCTGATTCGGATGGATATACTAAAAGTTGGCTCCTTTCAGACTCCGCTGGACAGACACGTGGTAGTGGTAGTGGGGACATGAGATTATCGAAGAGCAACATCACTGGATGTCTTATTGATGACCCTCTGTATGGGTGACCAGGATTGGGGCCATAGACGAATCTGTACAGTGTGTGGGGTAGTCCCTTTGCCTCATGCACATTCCCCCATAAGCATTCCTAGCTTGGCTGTGGAGAGACATGATGTTCTTCTGTTTTTAGGTGGGATGACACCTTCGAAACTGAAAAGTAGCAGCTTCATATCTGCCATAGGCCATAGATGTTTCACTTTCTCTGTGTTCAATCCACAGGATTTTTCGGGTCAGAAAACCTGAAGGAACCTCTTCTTTTCGTTTAATCCCTGTGATTCCCTCCACCATTTGCCTTGATTCCGCAGGTGGTGCAAATGATTTTCGTTGACCTTGTGGATGAGATGGCGTCGGAGATTGCAAGCCTGTGGCCAGTGTCACCGGCGTGTGCATAGAGACGCCATAAAGTTTATGGCGCAACTTCCGTCTAGATGGCGCCCCGTCTATTGGGTGGCATGGACACCTTTTTTTTGTTTCCCGAACATAGTAGATGGCCTGCGGAATCACAGACTATCAGTCAGACTGTATCATATTTTGCTTGTTCACTGTTCAGTGCATTGCCACCAAGATTGCTTACAAGGATTGCTTGCGCTACACGTCCCGTGCACATAGGACACACACACACATATGCACCAATCCTTGTAAAAGCTCCCCATCAAGTCACGGGGACGCGGAACTCGCTCTAACGGGTTTCCTCCAAAAAACGGGACAAATGGTACACACTAAGCTCCGCTGCATCCAAACTCCTCTATCGAACTCGAGTCTCCGAACGGCGCCACGCGAACGCTCCCCACGGCGCCGGGGGAAAGCGTCGGTCCCCGGAGCACCTGTTTCACCCCGCCAACGTGTCCGGACGAAACGGACGGCGTCCGGCCGAAGGAGGTACGAGTTGGGTGGAAAACGGGGAAGGGGAGGCACCAGGTGTCTACAGTATACACATCCCCACCCAGGAAGAGTGGATCAGATCACCTGCGAATGAGGGGAGACTGCCCACTAGAGCAGAACAGGTGGAAGGTTCCACGATCATGTTCCGCTTTCTTTTCGGATGTTTGAGAAGCTGGTTTCCTCCGGATCCACGGAGCAAAGGACGGACGCGGAGGATTTAGAAACCATTGAATTAATTTTTGAGAAGAGGATGATCAATGACAGCAGGGTGTTCAGAAGATCAACGCTTTTTGCGAATCAATTTCAAGGCCTATGCTATCCAAGGAATGTCCGAACTCTTCCGCTTTTTGTTCAACATCCTCTTGTCAAGGAATTTAAACGACACAGCGACGCTACTCCGCGGTCAATGGAAAAAGATGCAGGCTCAAGGCTCCTCTCCTCTCCATATCCCAGAACGTTTCCATGGCGAAGAGGTTATTCTAGTTTCATCATGTTTCATCACCTTTGAGTGAGCTACAGGCATATACGCGGACCCATAGAAAGATCGTGTTCATTGTGACAATGACTCCTAGACTCCTGAGTTCAACACAGAATTTGGGAGCATTTTCGTCTACACATCAATGCTTTTTTGCACTACACCTCTTCCACTATGTTTGGTCATGTTTGCACAGGATACTTGTACAGTAATCTCTACCAGGCCCTCCTGTCTGGGTGTCCATCGACAATCCAAAAGCCGAAATTGGAAGGTGCTGCGGATATACCTGGACCATCCTGTTTGCACCTGACTGGACGACCTTACACTACTATCCCAGGAGACCCGGAGGGTCCAGGTCGATCCGTCGTTGGCAACGAGGAGCTCTTCCGCCCAGAGCTGTGTGAAAACACAGGAGCAACGGCCAGACCATGCGGAAAACATGCTGCGGTAGCAGGACCCCCCCAACGTCATGTTGGTGGCCATGAAGAGGGCACCCGGATGCCCTTCTTTTCAAGAAATGCTTAGAGCTGCACCCTCTCTCACTAGAGCTGCACCTGAATCCGACTCCTCCCGTGACTTTTGGAACACTTCGGGTGCTCTTTGGGTGCTAAGCGCACCTTCCATCCGCCGGCCCGCCGCAGCAGCCCTGGGCTCGCCGGGGGGGCGCCCTTCGACGCGTCCGGGTCTACGGGTCTCATGGCACCGCCCGTGCCGGGCGCGCGGCGGCCGAGTGGCGGGAGAGGGCGAAGGTGGGTGAAACTCCAAGACTCCATTTGAAGCTTCAGATATCCGGTGCCAATGCATCTTCCAGTGGCTTGGGCTGCGGGTTTGGAGTGGTTTTGGGCTCAGAAAGGGCCCATTCTGTTCATTCCACGAGAGTCTTTCGGCGTCCTTCATTCGACCGACACCCCAAAGCTGGGTGGAGATGCCGTTGATCTCGTTCAGCCTGGGAAGAGTCCGGCAAATTCCATTGCCCTAAGAATTCTTGGGCTCTCCATGGCAGGGGTCCGGGCCCTCCATAGCAGGGGTCCGGGCCCTCAAAACCCTATCTGTTTGAGGGCCCGGATTCTTAGGGTGGAGAGAAGAGAAGGCCGGGGGAGTCAGCGAGTCGAACAGCTTCAACCCACGACGCTCCAGGCTGCGGCCGATTCGACTGACCCCACCGTGGCTCGCAGTGGGTGAACCGCTCCGTTATGGAGAGCATACGGGTGTCACCTCTAGGATGGGTATAGGTGACCTGTTCAAGACCAGTGACATACCAGCACCTTCAAAGGGGTTATATGGCTGGTTTCGCCCCTACACTATACTAACTAAGGGACCTCCATTGGACACCCCTTGAAGGTCCAGGTACCTTTTAATTTGTTTTACGGTTTTGAAACTGCTCTCTAGAACAAATAGCTCTAGGGCCACCAAGCGGAAGGGTTTGCTGACGTCGACTGGATGAGGAAAGATTGTATAGGAGTCTTTGGAAGGCCGCACTCAAGGAATCTTGCTTGCTGGATGTTTTTGGTGAGTTTATGGAAGGCCGCACATTGCAGGAATCTGGTTTTTGTTTTTACTGGGAGTGGTCCAGTTTACGGGTGACAAAACAGAAGCAATTGCGCATTACACATTGGGGGGTTCCCAAATCTCTCTTCCATAGCAGCCATTGCACCTGAACATCAGGAAAAAGAACGAAACTCCGTCATCACAGGTAGCTTGCAAAGCTTTGCAAGGAGCATCTTCCACAAGTCCACGTATGGGAAACATATGGGAATTCAATCAGGGACGGAGACGCCCTCGATCTGCGTTTGACCTGGGGGGGTCTTTATAGTTCAAGACACGTTTCACACGTTCGCCCATGCTTCATTCGTATCACGAAAACGGGTCGTATTACGTATGCCCGCGTTGACGGGTCGGTGCTTCAGCGCCCGCAAGCTGCAGGGAAGCCATGGGAAAACTATGGATAACGAGTCACTGGCATGAGGAGGGAGCCCATGATATGCCATCCACTTGTTATCCCGTTATCCCCTATATATTCCACATTTCCTTTCAGACAGAAAGGCCCTGAATGAGCGCCCATGATTGATTTTCACTGGAAAGGAAGGGGGTCGCGCCAGTGCAGAATTCCTTCGAACACCTAGGACATGTGCACCTGCAACACCTAAGAATGGGACCACAGGGGCGGCTACAGGGGCCACTCTTCGGTGTCTTCTGCCACGGTCATTGGTCATTTTTCCACCAAAGGCCAGCCAGTCCCGCCAATGCACTCAGGACCCCCCGACCAGCGTACGGGTGCCGAGTGGTTTTCGAGGATTGCCAGGGGTCTTCGTGGTTTTCGAGGGGTCGCTCCATGGAAGAGATGCGTTTTTTCACAACAAACAAGAAGACCCAGATGACACAAGGGGTTGCCAGTTGCCATTCTTCCATTCTCTGAGAAGTTTGTCTATTTGTTGAATTGTGCTTCAGAGGTCAGATTTTGCACTTCCTGCAAGAAACGCTTCTCCCTGCGGAGCTGAGGTGCGGGAGAAGGGCGGTCGCTTGGTGGTCGTCTTCAATGTGGCCAACGTGCGGCCGAACTCAGTGCAGGCGCGCCACTCCTCTGTGCGACTCGCTGGGTTTGCCCTAGAAGTCCAAAGACTATATTTTGACTGGCTGGAGTAAAGGAAGTTCCCTTTCAGTTCCCCTAAAGACCATTCTTTTTATAGTCTTTGACTCCCAGGGTTTGACTTGATTTCTCCAGGTTGGATGACTCCAGCAGCCCGGCAGAGTGGGTCGTTCACCCTAGAGGCCCAAGCCCATGGATCGGCGATCCACTCCGGCCATTGACCCTGACATGGCCAGTTCGAACAAAGCTTCTAAGTTCCGAAGGCTACTTCGACATGGTTTCTTTCCAAAAACCCATGTGAAGACCATGCGGTTCAATACCTCTATGAAAGAATCACATGATCCGATGGAACTGCGTTCGACGGGTTGCGTTAAGCTCCTAAGGGTCTCACCAACCTACCCAGGTGGAGGTGAGGCCGCCCAGTGACGAGGAGCCTGCAGGCAGCGTCCGCGGGTCCAAGGCCGTGGTCCGATCCAACCGAACTCACCCAGACGCGACCGGACTGCCAGGACGGACTGCCGAGAAACGGCCAGGGGTGGCGCCAGGGGGGTCAATGTAGGTATATCTGGCAGTCCCATGGAGTGTATGGGTAAGAGTCTTGAGAGGAGAAAATCCCTGTGATAGAGTCAGAGGCTTCGACACCTCTTATAGAAGGCTTTGAGGCTGAGGCTCCGACGTCGGAGGGTGGGTTCGAATTGTGGTGATGTGGGATAGCACCATTTGTTTGGAGGAAGTGGATCATCCTATCGGGGCGCCGCCTCCATGCGAGTCGCCTCCATGCGAGTCGCCTCGGGAGTGGGAACGCCTCGGGGCAGCAGGGGAATAGCCGGTCGATCCCGCCTCGTGGATGAGTACCTGGATCTTCCAACCAAAACATTCTAGTAGTTTTGGTTATTGACCCGGTTTTCCACGCAAACGGACGCAAATCAGCGCAACCGACAAAACACCGCAAATTAGCGCAAAACGCACACAAAACACCAGCAAACGATCACACAAATCCGGAAAATAACGCAAAACAAACAAAACGACCAAAGCGACCATAAAGCAAAAACGACCAGATATTTTTGGTAGTTGGAAGGTCCAGGTTCTGCTAAAATACGACCCTGGGATTCTGTAGGATTTGGGGTAGACTTTCAATTCCTCATCAACCCACCCAAGACATTGGATTTCTCAAGCTCTCTTCCGGCCTGGGGGTGTGTTTTTCATGCATCAATTGGTCGACCTCACTTCCTCGGCTGCCTTCCCGCCTTCCTGGGCACATGAAACGCCAGGCTCGGTGCATGTGAGCTTCAGCTCGATGTCACCCAGCAAAGCCTTTGTGAAGCACCTGGTTCCTTGGAGGCAGCTGTTCTTCGAAAAGCGGAGCGTTCTCGGAAGCTAGGCTCTGAACAAAAGACGAGCTTGCGACATCTTGGAGTTGATCCGATTTACTCGGAGTTGATCCGAGTTGATCCGATTTACTCGGAGTTGATCCGATTTACTCGGAGTTGATCTGAAGCAAATTCGTTCAGATCCCCCTCAGTCGACGGGATGGGCACTGGGGCGGATCTGTTTCTTGGACCGATCGCAGATGTTCAGGATTGTTGTCAAAACCTCAGTCGGCTCTTGATGAATAGCCCCCGCCATGTGTCAGATGAAGAGGCTGGGCTTTACAATCAGAATCGGAGGGGTTTTAGTTTTATTCAAGAGTCTCAAGAGTCTAAAGCATCTGGTTCTTCAAGAAGACATTCCTCCTCCACCACCGAGCCACCATCTTTCTGCGAGCCTCCTTCACGTCTTCCTTCGCCGCCTCGTCAAAAGACTCCTTTTTTCAGAACAGAACTCGTGGAACACCGCGACAGAAAAGACTCCGTCTACTCTACTATATAGATCAGGAAAGAATATCTCTGCTGAAGAAAAGGAATCGAACGAAGCAATAGGCAGATCTTGTGATGCTCATTCGGAGTTGAAGGCAGTGGAAGAGGGGCGCAGGAAGTGTTCCAATGATATCATCAAACAGAATGCTTTGGTGGAGAAGGCTCAAAGCCACTTTGGATGAGGAAGGCATCAAGCTTTCAAAGTTTTGTTCCAAACTCGCAAGAATTTGGGCGAATGTTGGAGTGAAAGGCACATTCATTAAAAAACAGAGAAGAAGGGTCGAGATCATGCGCTTCGATGAAGAGGAAGATCGAGCAAGAGGAAGATCGGTGGACAATTCCGAACCCGAGGCCTGGAGGGGAAGCATTGGGTTGAACGCTGACCAGGATTCAGCATACCTGTGAGTTGAACTTATTTGTGAACATTGGACCTCCAAGACATCACTTTGGTTCTTTGATGAGGAGGTTGCCCTAACCTAGACTAGACCACTGACTTGTGGTCAAACACTACACCTCCAAATCCTCCAAGTCAGGCTCGCAAGCCTTGAACGGATACTATCGCAGAAAGAATAACTATTCTCCAGAAGCTGCATTATTTATAATTGTCTTCAAGAAGAATAGTTATTCGGACTCATCAAGAAGAGTATAGTTATTCGGATTCAAAAGCCGACGCGCCAGACTCAAGACCAAGAAAGAGGAACGCCTTCAATGTCAGCAAATGATCACGGCCAGACGGAACCAGCAGAACGAACGACGAGCACCAAGTCAAAAGTCTCTCCGAACGAACATGAGATGATCAGAAAGGCAAGAAGAGTCTGCTTAACACCCTGCTTATTCTCATCCTCCTTCAAGATCAGAGATTCCAGGTGATTTTTGGCAGCGAGCACCTTTTGAACAGATGGTGAAGGCATTCATACGAGGAGGTTTGAGATGATGAAGATTCTGAATGTTTCACTGAAGTGAAACCAGAAGTTGCTGAAATGATAGCTGTGAACATGGTGAAGACTTCGGAGTTTAAGGAGACTATCTCCGAACTCAGTGTCTTGCACACGCTTCTCCATGACAGTTTGCAGAATGTCACAACACAGATGGATGACACAATTGAGAGATGCGAGCAATCGGAGATTGACGTCTTCCGTCTCAAGAGCCAACTTTTTGGAAAAGACGTTGGATTCCACGGGACATGTCCCAAAAAAGAGGCCCGGAAGATGCGCAAGACAGCCAGGAAGATGCACGAGAAAGCCCAAGACCCAAGAACAGAGACCATGGAACTGGCTGGACTTGTTGGAGGGCATGAGCCAGAGAAATCTGTTAAACAACTGCTCATGTTTCTTTTTCAAGAATCGCCAGAATCGCATTGACATTGCGAAAAACACCAGTTCAAGACAGTAGCATCATGTAAGAACATCATATAATGGGAGTTAAGATGAAGTTGACTTGTACAGACATGTTACTGACTGAAGGACACATGAACTGTCATAATGTTTAAAACTGGTGTGAGTAACCAGGCTTGCAACCAACCGCTCTGCAAAAAACTCTTCTTGCCACAGCGAAACCAAAACGAAAGGTCGGCTCCAAACGAAATGGCGGCGCTCGAATGATCGCTCCCTTTTTCTTGGGCGCTTAAGTAAAAGCAGCTACGAAGTGTCGACCACGTGAGGAGTTTCAAGTCTCAAGCGTTCCATGCCATCAACACTCCCCCTCCATAGCGACGTCAGGCTGCTATGGCCTTTCCATTCTCTCTTCCTTCAAAATTCGACCGCTTTTGGTCTTTCAGCTCAAGCTGCTTCGTCTTCATTGGCCAGAACAGGCCGAGCAGGGCGTGTATCGGAGAACCTCACCCCGAAGCGACCGACACACCCTGTTCGAGTGTGCAATGCCACCCCAACTGGTTGTCCACAGGGTGACAGATGTCATCGTTCCCATCATACTGGTGCACTCTTCGCACCATCGACTCTCCTTGACCGTCCCCGTCCGAGGATTGGTCAAGTAAGGGCACATCATCGTTCGGTGATGGACTCGACCGAACTTGGTTGTCAAGATCTTTGGATCCTGGCTTTCACCTTGCTGCATTGGCGGAGGTCGCACATGTGCTTTCGCGTGTGCACTGCTTTCTCCTCTCTGCTGGAATCGTGACTGGGCGTCTGCTGATGCCGACATGGCCGATGATGCAGCCCCAGTTGATCCCCTTTCTTCTTCTTTTCGCTCCTCTTCTTCTTCCTCTTTGCGAGTCTTTTCCGCCTCCTCTTTCTTCTTCTTCCTTCTGATCTCGCTAAGGCTGTCCAAGCGGCATCCCGTCGGAGATGACGGTGACCTTTCTGGTTGGAGCCATCGACCATTGGGAGAAGGAAAACCCCACATTGTGACTTGGATCACTGGAAGCTGGGTTGGAGTGTGAGGTGGTGCAGATCCTGGTGATCTCATTGGGCTCGGCAAATGAGAGGGCCGAGACACTTCTTCTTCATCCTCTTCACTTTCTTTCTTTCTTATGGCTCGCAGTCTGGCTTCTCGTCGAGATGGTGTCCTGGGAGGACTTCGCACTGCCGACTCTTGGTCACTTGGTGATTGGTCTCGGCTGCGTGCTACTCCCTCCTTCAGGCACCAAACTAAGAGAAGCACTATCAGAGCCAGGGGAATGAGGATCATCATAACTTCCCATCCCAGGATCTCTTCTTCATCATCTTCATGCTCCCCCTGCGCCTTTGCGCTTGCCAGTGTGGCGGCGATCGTGATCAACTTAATGATCACATTGGCCTTTTCTTCATTTTGGCCCTTCACTTCCTTTGCTTCTTTCTTCACTTTTCCTTCTTCATTCCATTCACTTTCATCTTCTCCTTTTTCATTCTTCACCTCGGTGTCTCTGAGAGGTAGCCCCATGTTGAGCTGCTTCTTGAGGGTTTTGACTCGAGGAGCTGCAAGTGCCTTCGTCCCCAAGTCTGCAATCATCTTCTCACCTGGCACGTGGTGTAAGGTCCACAGTCCGTCGAGGATGACTTGCCTCGCATAGGAAGACCGCATGCGGAGGTGTCTCGTCCGCCAGCTGCCGCCTTCGGCTGTCAGGATCGTCATTCCTGATTGGCTATCTGTCCAAGCCATGCGAACGACGGGCTTGAACAGCTCATCCAGAATCACCCCTATGGACTCTCCTGCAACCATACCTTCAATCACTTCGTTCAGCTCGGCTTCAGCAGTTGACAAAGTGATCGTCGACTGCCTTCCAGATCGCCACAGGATTGGGCTGTTTCCCAGGAGGACCACCAGGCATCCATGGCTCTCCTCTGAGGTTGGAGAGTAGGAGGCGTCAGTGTACACATGAATCACTGGCTCAGTGTTGGCCTCCTCTTCAAAAATCAAGCCTTCTTCTTTCGTCTTCCAAAGGTAGCCTTTCATCTGTTTGGAGGCTTCGAGAACTGCTTGTGTTCCTTTGAGGACGGCTGAACCCATCCTTGAGACGCCGTACATGATGTCGGGGCGCGTTCTCGTCACCATCCATAGGAGTTCTCCTACAGTCTTTTGGGCAGCTTTGACGTCTGCCGCTGTTGGTGGGCTTGGATCATCCACCATGGCCGATTGATCTTTTGAGATCGGGATCTTCTTCTCTCGGAGCTGGTGCACTTCTGGCTCAAGGAGGTCTGTCGTGTAAGACTGTTGAGAAATGAGCCATCGATCCCTGCCAGTCTCCGGGTTCACCTGCTTGATGATCTCCATGCCCAAAAACTTCACTGGCTTTTCGGCTATGTACTCAGGACTTGATGTCGTCCACTGAGCTTGCAACTGATCCTTGACTGCCAACATCACTTTTCGTTCGGCAGTGATCATGATGTCATCGACATAAGTCATCAAAAGCCCTCGGAGCTTTGGTGCATCTTCGTCATGATGGAGTTCGACGATCCTCCACAAGTTTGGCTCCGAATCCAAGGCCTCTAGGCACAAGGGCTTTTCTTCTCCTTCAACTTCGATCTCCATCTTTTGGAGTACTTCATCACGGTGCTCACCCCACAGGCGTGGCGAGCGGCGGAATCCATAGACCGCCTTGAGTGGGACATAGTACGTGTCCTTGGCCAGCAATCCACGCTCCACGAAAAAGGCAGGTGGGCATACCAAAAGCAGCTGTTGATCTTCTTTTTGAGACATTTTGGCGTTCAAAAAGGCTGTCTTGACGTCCACCACACAGCCCTCCCACTGGTAGACCACTGCCACCCAAACCATAATTCGAAGGGCAGCTGAGTCGGCTCCAGCAGAGAAGTTTTCTTCATTTGGATCTTTGCTTTCGAAGTTTCCACAAACGACCCAGCGAACTTTCTTCTTTCCTCCCTTCTTCCCAGGCTTGCGGGTGAACACGAGCTTGGAAGGAATGAACTCAACCTTCACCCCTTTTGACTCGGCATCTTCCACCATTCTTTTCACCTCCCCCTTTGTGACCAGCTTCAAGGCTAGCTTGTCGGTGAGGAGAGATGTGATTTCATCTTGTGAA